TTCACCCAAATCCTAATTAAAAAAAAAAAAAAAAGATGCACACGCAGACCACTCAACCCAGGATGCCACATCCACACACTCAATGGTAATACATCCCTTAGAGCAATAGACATGGGACACCAGAGGACCAACATTCAAACTGAGGAAATACAGGACAAACAGGAGTGCATAATTATGAGGGGCACAGGGGCAGGTTTGCAAGGTTGGGAGGGGAGGAGACTAGGTTAGGGTTAGACTTTATAAAAAAAAAAAAAAAGCAGTTCTTAATAGAAGGTGATTTTGAAAGTGAAAACAGAAAATATATCACCAAAAACTGTATAACAAGCATCAAAATTAGGTAAATGTGAATTCATAGGCAGCCACAATATATGTTGATAGATATTTCAACAAAAATTGATACAAAGCAGAGAAATATAAAGGAATTACTTTATAATGCTCATTCATATTACTCTGGTATCATTTATCCAGCAAGTAACAGAGATAATAATCCTAATATAGCCACATAAAAAGCAGGAAAAAAAAAAAGTTTAAAAGTATCATAAAGGTTTTTACATTTGTCATCAAAATCTAGATTATAATCATCTTCAACGTTCAGGAAAATGTCATCCCCAAAGCCAGAAAGCAATCATCACTACTAGAATCCACAATTTTTTAAAAAAAATTAATGTAGGGATCCCCCAAAAATTAACTCTACAAATTGTTTTAGATAAATGTGGAATTAAAAATGCAGACCTTTTCTTTCTTAGGTAGCTAAAGGCTAAAAGCAGATGATGATGGTTTACAAGTACAAAAGGGGAAAATCAGCCTTTACTTGGAATCTCTTAATCACACCGAGGAATGGGTCCTTCTGATGTGAGTTAGAAGACATCACATTTTTAAAAATAATTTTGTTTTTAAGAGGTAAAAAAAATATCTACATGGTTTAAAAACAGTAAAACAAAAGGCATATGCTGAAAACTCTATGTCTGACTCCTAACTCCTGAAACTACTTTTATTCTTTTCTTGTTTATAGGGAGCATCATTTCTAAAACATTCGTAAAATGTTTATATTGAAAACTGTCAAGTGTCATGTGTGTTCAATGTAATAGGGAAAAAAAATCCAACTGGGTGTGATTATTTGATAAGCTGCTTTTTCTAGTGAGTGTTTTCTAGCCTTAGTTCCTTTCCCAGGCCATTAATCTAAGCATTTGCTAAACACAACCTCATGCTGCCCCACTCTATGCTCTTTCTGCTTTAATTTAAAATCCTCCCCAACATTCCATTTCAACTACCTCTTTTTCCCTTGAGAACTCCTCCAAGTTCTGCATCTCCTTTGTCCTCTTATTTTCTCCTCCTCTGGGATCCTGCTAGGGGACCTCTGGTGGCCTATTGCCTATGGCATTTGACTGCTAACCAGAAGGCTGGCCGTTCAAACCCTCAGAAGGAAGACTGGGCAATCTACTTCCATAGTGATATCGCCTTGGAAACCCAAGGAGGAGTTGGATCTGACTCCATGGCAGTGAGTTTTGTTTTTGTTTTTTTAGTTTTTGGCTCCTGTTGGCCTGTGCTTGATGAAAGCAGTTTTCAACATCCTTGAACTGGAATCCCTGCCTCCTGAGAGCGCCAGTATTCTCCATCCCCTCTCCCCATTTTCTCTTTTCACCCAGTTTAGACAAAAAAACTCTATAACATGTGAAAATTACTTTTTGAACTGCTTTAAATTTGAAATAAAATTGAACGTCAGTAGAGAGGTCAGCTGAGACATCCTTCCTCAGCAATATATGCTGCTAGCAATATATATTGCTAGTCTTCTATACCACTTATTTATTTTTTTTCCTCTATTTCTGTTGAACCACCCTGAAGAAGTGTCTGGTTTCATTTTCTGTATGTGTGCCCTTTGAAACTCAATGTTAGAAAATGAAAAGACCATAGAAGTTAACCAATCTAAGTCCTAATGTAGCAGATGAGGAAACAGATTCTGAGGAAGATTCAATGACTTGTCCAAAGTCACAAGCTAATAAATGTCAAATCCCAAACTGAAATTAGTATTCCAGATACCTAGTTTAATACTTTCCCCCACTAATCCATGTTATTTTGACTCTATTGTTAATTTTTTTTTTTTTTTTTTTGGAGGGAGGGATAGCTAATGAAAAGTTTTTAAAACAATTTCTTTCCTTACCTGACATAGTTAGAGAAGAGGAAACATCAACTGTAGATACAAGGGTTGAAGAGACGATACTAGAACATGTCTGGGTGGCTGAAGCCAGAGAGCACGTGTCCAGTATGAAGGTCACTGGTCACTGGCCACTTGTGATGGTCCAAATTTACTTACAGACAGCTTCATGGAAACCCCAAGATTCTACCAAATGGTAGTAGGTTTGGTGGGAGAATGAGGTCACAAAGCAGGCAGTTTAAAGTCAGGAGATAGCCAATAGGGAGGTCAGATCCATAGCAAGAAGACAAGATTGGGTAGAGGGAATGGTAGGAGAGCTATAAAAATAATAAATTTAAAAAAAAAAAAAAGGAGAAGAACAAACCCACTGCCATTGAGTCGATTCTGACTCATAAAGACCCCCATTGGGTTTCTGAGGCAACAGTACCTAAATGGCTGAGCTCTGGGGAGGTGAAATCCTATAAGACAAGAGGTATTTTCACTTTCCCTAAGCTCTTACGGTAGGGAAATCATCTCAAAGTTTCTTATAGATGATCTTTAATGTAACTGACTAATTATATTATATTACATAAAATATATATGTGTATATATATGTATGTGTGTGTATATATATGTATATACACATATACATATA